TTATATCCGCAGGTTCTGCGCTTTTTTCACGCTTATCCTTATCTTGCCTATGTTCTTTAGTGCCCTTTTCCAGTGACCATTCGGGCTCGTTTTCTTTTGAATGAGAGCGCCTTTCTTTAGAACGTGAACGTTTTTCAAGTCGTTTTTTATTTCGACTGCCTTGAGTTTTGGGCCTGGAATGTTCAGTCGTTTATCTTCTGTTTTGGATGATTTATTCATACCTCCTCTTCCTTTGCAAATCTGTCGGCACATGGAGTGTCCCTCCCTAGAATAATTCATTCAGAGTCATACACGAAGAAATCTGTACCTTTTTGGCGATTTTGTCTTTCTTTTTGTACTTCTTTCTTCTTTTCCTTCTTTGTTTCATCTGCGACGTCTTTATTTGTGAAAGAATGAGTTGTATCGCTATAGCTTACCCGACGCTTGTATTCCCGAAGCTCCAGCTTATAGATCTTATAGTCCTCCCATTTCTTCGCCCTCCGTTCTCGCTCATATAAAACTACGAATATCCAGAACAACAACCCCAAAAGCGCTATAATGACGATAATGGTAATGATGATTTCATTCGACAAGGGCTCAGCGCTTTTGGTCTTTGTTGGCGCGCCTTTCTTTCCCTTTCCAGATGTGACGTACGCATCAGTAATGGCCACCTCTGTCACATTAAGCACTTGTTGGGAGGGCGTTATGGTACTTTCTGCGATTTTAGCCTGTCTCCTCGGTCTGCTGATGGGTCGCTGTGGTCTTCTCTTCTTCGTGATAGCTGTGAGGAAACCGGATCACAGTTGAAGCATTTGCTTGGTGAACTCACTTCTCTTTACGATAGCTACCATCTCTGCTTTTCAGCTACAAATTAAATGGATCAAACTGAAAGCTTGGTCCATTCGTGAACTTCATGATAAAGTCATTATCACTACTAGTGAGCCTACAGGTCGCTGTAAATGGGTCGGTGTAGCTATAAGGCATTAGCATTTGCTCGGTTGGGACTGCTTAAAACTGATACAGAACGGCGTTTTCGTCACTTTTCTAGATTGGCTGGTAAATTAGAAATCAAGGTTTGTAGTCATTTCATATGATTCATGCGTGTTACTG